AGAAAGAGCTGAGGAGAGTCCCAGATGAGGGCTCACTCAGCAGCTGCAGAGCAGAAGCCAGGGGAGTTGCAGTGACGCGCCCGTGAGCTCCGCCGGCAGCCAGCTGCGCCTGAGTGACCGAGCCCCAGGCCGAGAGGCCGGGGGCACCCCACCTCCGAAGTGGCCCGAGCGAGCCCCAGGCTCCAGGCCCCGATAAGCGGCCGCCAAGGAGTGAGCCGGTGTGTACCTGGACGCCCATCCCCGGACACAAAGAACCACCAACGCACCGATGTCTGAGGGGTCCGCCACTGGCAGGGGAAGTGGTGGTGGGGGGAGATAGACCTCCAAACCTTGGAGGGCCTGAGATGTCCCCAGAGAGGTGGCGCCTGACACCCAACCTGACATATAGACACAGACATACAGGCACACACAGATACAAACATCCATTCCCACCCTCATGCTCTCATATGCACTTACTCCACACTCAACCAACGTGGAGACAGACATAAAGAGACGCTGTACACACGATCACACTCCCCAAGCGTACTCTACAAACCGGGTCTAGGTGCCCCGCCCCTGGAGGGGGGAACTGCACCCAGACCCAGGTGGTGTTTCCCTTTTCCCTGCGGTGGGGGGAGGCAGACCGCCCCGACTCCGCAGCAGCAGGAAGGCTCCACACTCCAGACCGCAGTCGGACGGCCAACTCCTCCTCCTAGTCCTAGCCCCCCTGCTCCAGCAGGTCACAGAGAACGGGGGTGAGAGTGAACAAACTTTTCTGAATCAGTTTCTGAATCAGTGTGTTGATTTTTTTGACAAATGTGCCAGGCTTTGACTAGTTTGCTGCTTTCACTGTGTTTGGAGATTGTAGAAATGGTTAATATGAGCTCTTAGCTGAGATTCAGAGGTTAACGGGACTTTTATTACCAAGCTCTTGTTACAGCCAAATAAACAAGATCTCACCCCTTTTTGCCCCTGGCACCGGAGGTGCTGGGGCTCAAGAGGCTAGTCTTAAAACAAAATGTACAAAATGTAGCTAAACAGACTGAAAGATCACCCACCTGACACTCACAACAGTCACAACCTTAATTATTCTTAAGTTTAAGAAAAATAAACAAATTGGGTGACTTATAGAAAAATGTGTTCTGTGAACAGTTGTCATGACTGTGAAAATTAGCCCTAAATTAGCTGCAGAAAAAAAAGCTACAACCATGAGAAGAAATAAACACAAAAGATAATAAATGACTACTTTAAGATTATTATCACAGACTTAGACTGCATTATGTTAAAAAGTGCTGCTTTGCAATGAGGCACATCTGGCGAGGGAAAGCTGTGTGTTTACAGCTTAAAAATATTTGCATTTTCACTGGACTGTGAGTGGAAACATGGTGGCTGATTGGCTGGCAGATTGTTTTCACTTTTGACATATTTTCAATTAATCAAATAAGCGCTGTTCGTGGTCATGCTCCTGACGATTTCTGGGGTTTTGACACTCTGGACTACAGACAGACACCTAACTCTCCTCACCAATGATACGAGAATTTTGCATTTGCATCTGTTTTATATCTCTGTTCAGCTCTGTTCAAATTTTGGTTAAATTGAAAGTGTATGTCTTCGAACGGTCAGCAGGGAGCAGCAGTGCTAGTGCACAAGGAGACAACATCAGAAGGTGAGGTTTTGTTTTTTATGAGCAGAGAGCCTGAAGTTCTTGATGCAAATCAATTAGGTAGAAATAACTTACAAAAGCAAAAATAATAATAATAATTTGTTCAAATAATATCTCTAATGATAAGTAAAATTATCAGTGTAAAGTAAAAAAGTGTTAAAGGTGTTACTGCTTTTTATATTTCCAAACTAAAATATGATCTTAATGATGTACAGTATGTAAATGACACTAAGCTAAAGATTTGTTTAGGGAAAAATAGACAAGAAAAAACGAATGAAAGACTTAATGACTCACCAGTACAACTGAAGTCTTCCATCTCATTTTCTTTGTCAATGACATCTTCATGTTTCCCACCTTCAAACTCCAGTTCTTTCCCAGGCAGCATTCTTACTGAAAGGTTACAGCATTTCACATTTACTCATACAGTACATAACAACAGCTGTCTCACCAATGCACAGTGCTAATGTACCAGTGAGGTAACAAGGAGCACAAGAGCAGGAAAAACACAGCACAAGAACAGGTGTGCTTAATTTTTCTCTTCTGTATTTACATTTTCAATCAAGCAATGTTTGGTTGAGCTGATGGGCTGCTCGTTCAGTCAGCAGCAGTGATGGTGATATTTGAAATGCCTGTAAAGACTGCCCTCTTGTGGCAGTCTGCAACACCCTTTTTGGTTTTAAACTTGGAATATAAAGTATGATCTCATGTTCAATCGGGATCTTTACACTTTTTAAGGTTTTCAATTAAAAGTGAGACAAGCCATGTGTGTAAGTTGTGTAATAAATACACTCACATGAAGCTCTGGAGCTCCTGGCTCTCTTGACACAAAATCGTACAAATACAAAAGTCAAGATCACTACAAGAAGAAATCTCACACCCATGATAATAGGTGCTATGGATATAGAGGAAAGTGGTGGCAGCGGTGGTGGTGTGGGAGTCCATTTTTCATAGCCTGAAATCACACACAGCCAGTTTATTATTTTTTCTGGATTCAGTCACAGTGAGTTTCAGTCATAATTTATCTGTATCACACTGATCAAAGTAAGTCAGCTCAGATTTACAGAATACAAAAAGTGTCTTTCTGTCAAAAACAAGTAATTGATTGATGGATTCATGGTTTATCTTACCTTCACAAAATATTGTAGCTGAAGAAACTTTTCCACAGGAACGTTGTTTGACGGCGTACTTGACGTCCATGGTAACATCAGTGAACTCCAGTGTTGTTTCTAAGTTGACCTTGAATCAAATTTAAACTTTTTCACATTTAGAGATACAGCCAGAATAAAAGACACTGAAATTTCTCTGGCAGTAAAAAACAGGCCGGACTGAAGCAACACACAGCAGAAGTCACTAGAAGTCCAGACCAAAAGTATTGGGACATTCAATTTCTTTTATATTTCTGCAAACTTTGTGTCAGCAAAGTGTCCAGAAAGTTTTTAACTTCAAACATTTGGTCAATTTGTGTTTATTCAGATACAAGTCTCATGCATTTCTTTCCATTTTATAAACCTAAATATTTAAAATGTGAGATTCCAGTCTTCATTATTAGATTAAGCTGAGACACAGAGCCAGGAAACTGTCCATGATTTTGGTTTGTAGAATATGAGACAAATCAGTGACCGATTCAAGACGTAAAATGGAGAGGTTTACCTGTTTGATTTCCGTAGAGCCGCTATGGGTCTCATTAATTTCTTTACAGAGCTTTGTCTCTAACACTGGGGAACGATTAAATGGACATACTCTTTCCCACTTATCTCGATAATTGACTTCAAGGACACCTCCATGTTTTTCAGTCGTGCGGAACTTTACACTTTCTGTAAAAGCAAAGAAACTGTGTTTAAAGAAGAAAACAAGCTCATCCACTTCTGTCTGACAAATATGATGTTAGAGATGGTCACCTTAGCTTTAGCAAAATCACTAGGAGCAAAGCAAGCACCTGTCATCACTCTGCATTTATTAAAGTTGAAGTGTAAAACATGTGTTCAACATATTTTTAAAAGATTTTCAATAAATAACTCAGATTTCTTATATCTTATAATGAGCTTGACAATGTCATTTTTATTTTAAAGAAATAATCTTCTGTTTTATAAAATAAATACCTAAAAATTACCCCAAGATAATAAATTAAAATACTACCAGAATTAAGAGAGGACATACATGTATGTACTGTATATAGGGATGAGTTTATGGAAAGAGAGGTGCATGGACTCACACTTACCACTACAAGTAATGAACACCACATTTGTGTCACACTTTCCTTTAGTCCTCCTGCACTGGCCAATGATGGAATGGTACTTTTCACAGCTGACATGGTAAATGTTACCTGAACCCTTTGATGAAGCTTTGGATTCAATAAAGACAGCATTGCCACAAAGCTTTTCTTGGCAAACTTTGTGTGCATAGGATAGATCCCAGTTACTAGCACACACTGGAACGTCATCTATCCTCACTTCCCCACGACAGCCCTGTGAAAGGCTGACACTGGGCTCCTCTGGGAAGGAAAGCAATAAACACTGCAGTCAAGTATTGATAAAGACATAAAGCACTGAGGTAGAAATGATCAGTTAATCTTCTCTGCACTGCAAAGTCAAAATATGAAGCACAAGTCCATAATCAAATAGTTCATTTAACACTTTTAGCTTTGGTTTGTTACTTTATCCAGTGTATCTGGAAAAATTCTCCTTCACACTCCGAGTGTCTTGTTTCACTCTTCAGTGTTTCCAGTGCAAATGTAAAAAGTCTGTGATCATTTAAGATCAGTCCTGCTGATATAAATCTTACTTTTGCATTCAATAAAGACGGGCTCCTTCCTTGAGGGTGTGGATTTATTTTCACATTCCCAAATGCTTCCTGGATTTTCACCACAGCTGAAGCTTTTGTTCCAAAAAGAATCTATTTCAATTGTTTGGGGGTGGATTTTATTTGTTGATTGGTATCCACCACAGTCCATATTCTGGCAAAGCTTTTCCTTCTCAGTTTCATTGAAGTTTTCTCTGGAAACAGCACTGAGTCCCTGTCTCCAGTGAACCAACACTGTTCCACTACAGGCCTTTTTGTCAGGTACCATCGTCCTCCATTCTGAGACAGACAAGAGAAATAAAAAGTTCACAAAACATGATGTAACCAACAGGATCTGAATGATATAAATAACACACTCTGCACACAGAAATGACATTATGATCCTGCATCAACTTAAAGTTTTACACTTTTGAAGTTTAGCTACCCTTCTGACTGCTGCGTAAATAAAATGATTTTATAGAGTGATAACAAAGAGATGACAACTGATGACAGCGATATTTCTATAACCATCAGACTGCACAGGCCAGCTGTTTCCAGCTGATTCCAGACATTAAGTGAGTCACACTGTGTTGCAGAGCCGTACTGGTGACATGGACAACAAGCAGAGAAGAAAAGAGTAAAACTGAGTAGAACAAATATCATTAATGGAGGTGAGGATGTTAACATTCTAACCTTTATTGCACTAAAAGTAACCTTTGAAGGCGAGCATGTCAAAGTTTGAAAGCAGCATTATTTTTATCTCAACATTTTTCTGAAATACAAACTAGTCTCAGTTTGTTTCAATTTCAATTCAGTTTCAAAGCCTTTATTTTAAAATTAGGCTGAAGGAGCAAAGAATAATTCAGAAACTGCTGACACAAAGATCATTATACACACCAGAGCATCGGAGGCCACTGTGTTTGCAGGCAGCTGTAGAAGCAGTAATACTGCTGCATGCAGATAATGGACTGTTAGCATTTGCAATGCAGTTTAGGTTTGAAATGGCTAATTTATCTGCTGGTGCAGGTCCAAAGTAGGGAAGAGTCTCCACAGCATCACCACATTTAAGCTCCTGACAGATGGTGTTTCCATTGTTAGTGTCTTTGAGAGCATCCTCGCACACAGGGATCCACTTCCCCTCATACTCCACCTCTACGTTTCCAAAGCATTTGTAACTGGGAATGCTAAATCTGGGCTTGACCCTACCTGCAAGAAAACAAAACAAAAATAATAATACCATATATTTATAATAGTCTTATTTTATTTTTAATTAGAATTTTAAGCAACAAGAACTATCATCATCTTAGTGTAAAGAATTTCAGTCTGATAGCTTCAGAAAGATTTATATTTGCTTCTTTAACACAAATGAGCTTAATTATAAAAATAGTATTTAAAAAGATATTTTTAAAACATTTGAAGGAACATTTAAAAACAGACTTATGTCTTTTTGTTTGTTTTTTACATTCTGTTATCCTGTAACTTAGTGACTGAAGAATCAACAAACCAATAAAACTGGCACTTTATTCCAAAGGGTCCAAATCAGTTGAAAATGAAACTTTTTAAAAAGCAAGTTATGACATTTATTATATTTTTGTAATATAAAGTTACTTTTAAAAAAACAATTACCTGAGCAAACAACATAGGCTGGTTTTTGTTTACAGGACTTATCATTGTCCTGGTTTTTGACAAAGATGCTCTGTGTCAGGTCAGTAGTCTGATTTGTCGGGTGTAAACTCTTAAAGAGGATATCACCATCTTTGGGACTGTTATGGGCTTTTATGGGCGTCCCACAGTTCAGCTTTTCACACAGCTTCACAGACTTGTCTTCTGTCCAGGTGTCTCCACACATATCTCCTTCCTTCTCTTCTACACGAATCCTGACTTTTCCCCAGCAGCTGTTCGTCAACCTCATCTCAATATTTCCTGTTGTGACATGAAAAAGTTAAATTTAAGAGGAAACTAGTATCAGCAGATATTTCACAACTTCTTAGACCAAGCTAGGTTTCAGAAAAAATAGAAAATAGTAGAAATTTGATTGAGAGAAAACAAGGAGGTGAATGTACATCTATGGACATTAAAAGGTAAAGTCTGTTATAAATAAATTGTGTCCTCTGAGTGGATCACATTACAACTAGTGACACAATAAATCAATTCCATATTGACGTCAGTCTTAGTTTTATACTTTAACTCCTTCATATTTCACATTACCTGAACATTTCACATAGGCAGTAGAATTATGGTGGTCAGGAGGCAGAGGTGTAGTTTGGTTACACTCAAAAAGAGAGTTTTCTCTGGATGAGCAGCTAAAAGAGTTTTTCCAAACTTTATTAATCATATCAGCCCTAGAATTGAAAGAAAAGTTTGCAGCGTTCCCACAATGCATCTGCTGACACACTGTGTCTGCAGACTCTTGGTTCCATGTCTCTTTAGACCCAGAGAGCCAGTAGATTTCTCTGCCATGCTCTATCCCCACATGACCAGAACAGGTTCCACTTAAAAACACCACCTTGTGACCTGATGGACACAAAGAGAGAAACATGATATACAGTAAGTGGCTGTGCAGGTCGTCTACCTGTTGAAAGGTCATTCGTTCATGTGTGAATGTTAGACAAAGCCCTTAGACACAGGATTAAAGCACTGCATGAATGTGTGCTTGTGACTGGGTTAATTGGGCTTGTAGTAAAAAGCGCTTTGACTTTAAAATGCTGAATGTGTTTGCTGTTAGCTGAGCAGAATAATGATTCTCTACTACTTTCAGCAAAACACACTCTGGGTGCTCTAAAGGAGTAGAAAAGCATTATATATATGTATGAGCACCAGCTAGTTTTTGTTTGCAGTGTAGGTGCTGCATTCTGGACCAGCTAAACATGAGCTAAAGAGGACCGAGAGGTGCATGTGACAAGTGAGTCACAGTACTCAAGACAACAGAAAATTAAAGCGTGCAATAAAAGTTCCACAAAGCTAAGTGTCAGTAAGGGTCTGAAATTTGTGATGTTTCCTAATTAAATGAGAGAAATAGACTGGGTGAGCGTTGAGATGTGAGATTCAAATTTCAAATCAGTACCAAAAATGATACGAAGGCTCTTAAATGATGATTCGGTTTTACTGTAACAACTGACAACCTCAGATTTTTTAGAATTAAGGTGAAGGAAATTTAAAGACATTAAAAGCAATGAAGAATGCTTGTTATTTATTCCTGTTGTCTTACTATTTATATTTTATTTCTGCACACTTGACGAGGAGCCCCCACAATTTTGTGGTAAATTTACAATGACAATAAAAGACTATTCTATTCTATTCTATTGGCCAAGGTGTGAGTGGCTGGTAAACACTCCACTATTGGGAAAACATTGTTTTGTCTGTAATTAGTCTGCTAATCTACTGACAAAGACATTTGGCACCCAAAAAAGCCTAATGACTTTTTCACAAAAGACCAGTGATGGGAATAAAGGCGTTACAAGTAACAGCGTTACTAACGGCGTTACTTTTTTCAGTAACGAGTAATCTAACTAATTACTATTCCAATCGTTACAACGCCGTTACAGTTACTAAGAAGAAAACGCGGTCCGTTACTATTTTTCAACAAACAGACGGTTGAAGCTGTCTTCAGCTTACCGCATCTTATATCAGTTGCATGGAAGTAGCTGTAAGTAATCTGGACGCTACAGCTTTAAGCAGCTGCGCGCGCTCCCGCGGACGGTAATCACGATCGCTGTCTAGCACAACACCTGGAGCTAAGGGGGCAAAACAATCACATGAGTGCTGCTGTTTGACTGAGGAAGAATAAAGTAGTCGTGGTAAGCCAATCACATGACCACTTAAAGACAAAGCAACAAGGTGATATATACCAGTTTTTAAATTGTGTTGATAGGCCACGTAAAACCAGAGTCATGATAAACAATATATACGTGGCGTTTTTTCCTGAATAGTTTTGTCACGTTTACTGTCTAAGGACAGCGTTAGCAAGCACTCTCTGCTTATGAGCAAAAACAAAAACAAAAAAACAAAAACAGAGGTTTTAGGAGTGACGGCGAGAGAGAGAGATTTGTGACATTTAGTGTGTTTGGAGTGTGTAGTTAATGTGTTGTCTTGTGTAGTTAGTGTGTAGTGTTGTGGATAGTTTTGTGTTGTGTGTCAGAACAATGAGGCGACTGCTGTCTCCAGGTAGAAACAGGAGTGATACACCTGCTGCTGTCAGACCTGCAGGTATCAGGCTGTGATGTTCTCCTTTATAGTGGACAGAAATATTTGGAGTGGCACAAATAATTTGTGTGGCATCTTATTGAAGGCAGAACAGCTGATTGTTATGTAAATAGTTTGAAATTGTTATTTAAAAAGTCAAGGTAAATGGATGCAAATAACTTTGTTGTTTGCAAAACTTGTGCATAGAATTTTAAAATTGACAATTTATATTTGCATTTAAAGTTATGAAATATGATTCATTAAACATGTTTGTGGTTATTACAGTAAAAAATATAACTTCTTCTACACTGATTTTATGTTTTGTTGTCTGATTTTAGATCAATTGTGTTAATACAGTATGTCAAAATGAAAACATAACTGTAAATTCAGACACGTGAGGCTGTGCTGAAAACAATGATACCAAACAAGGCAAAGTAAATAGTTTTTAAGGTGAAATGTAGAGGAAACATCAAAAGTAGTCAAAAATGGCCAATTATACCGTGGACCAACACTGCAAAAAGACAAATTGTTTATTTGGGTTTCTAGTTGGATTTTCACAGGTAAGTGTATTTAGACCTTAGACTTGATGATTTAATAAATAGAAGCATGTAACTAAGCAGAGGGAAAAAACACTTTTTTCTTCTGACTGACATCGATGAATGAAAATGTCTTTTTCCTGGTTCTAGCATTTTATTATATTTCAGTATGTTTACTTTGGGAAAGCACTATCATTTGTGACACATGTGTAATTACTTATAACAGTTATACACAGCAACAAGGTCAAAGGGCACGTGACACTCACCCTCACAGGTGATTCCAGCTGCTTCCGCTTCCCGATCCGAAAATTGGTTGTTTGAGTTTTCTGTTAAACACTCAGATATCTTTGATATCTTCTTATTTCTCGGACACGTTATTGACAGGAAGCTACCAGAACCCTGACTGAATTTTTCAGTTTTGCCTTTTTCCCCACATTGCAGTTGTTTGCAGACAGCTGCTGATTGAGCCTCTGTCCATTCTTTTGCAAGAACTTTCTTCCACTGGCCCTCATGCTTTATCTCCAATCTTCCAGCACATCTTCCAGGACCATCTGCCAGTTTCACCTCCACACTGTCTGTACCACGACAATAAGAGATTTATCAGCCACGAAACACAAAAAGAATAAATACATTAAATTAAACTCTTACTGAACACATTTTGGGAAAAATATAATCAGAATTTAACAATGTCACAATTTCACTGAATGAAGTAACTCATTTTCTCTCTCGACATAGAATTTATTGCAGGATTTAAAATCCCATTATAAAAGTAGACAAAGGCCATCAGCAGCCACTCTGTACATTTCCACTGCTGTATCTCACCTGAACACACCACATAAGGTTGTTTTGAACACTGGATGTTCTTGCCATGCTGAGACTGACAGTGCCACAGTGAGGACTCACTGCCTTTGCAGCTCACATGGTCCATTATCCCTCCTGAATTCTGATGTTCTTCAGTATAAATCAGCTAGAACAAAGCATTTATGAGTTTATGTTATTTCATTGATAATCATCCAGTATTAATGGTGCACGTTAGTACACTTATCACAATAAATCCAGTAGCACTGCTGTATGGACAGTTTCTGATACATGAACGCTCAGTATCCATGTATCAGAACAACAGGTAACTTATGGTGACTAAACTTGAAAACTCACTTCCCCACATCCAAGCTCCTTGCAGACCAATTCAGCTTCAGTTTTAGTCCAGGTGGAGGCACACACAGGATTAACTGAATCATTCACTTCAATATTAACTGTACCATAGCACTTGCTGTCTTTGCCAGAGTGCTTCAGAACTACTTTAACTTCATCTGAGAGAGAGAGAGAGAGAGAGAGAGAGAGAGAGAGAGAGAGAGAGAGAGAGAGCAGTTTCACAGTGTGAAGTGTTTGCTTGGAAGTTGTTTGTGTTGGAATATAGATGTGTTGAATTACCTGTGCATGTCACATTAAGGTTTTTGTTTGGGCTGAGAGAGTTACCGCAGTGCATTTGCTGGCACACATCAAAATCAAAGTTGTCCTGTTGAACAGGTACCCAGTTGTTATTTTCTTCTTTCTCCAGCTGCCCAGAACACACATTTGACGGATATCCTTTGAGCTGCAATCTCGTATGACCTGTTCATAAAAACACTTTCTGAATTCACCACCATATTTAATATTTAACAGTTTTTATCACTGCTGTAACTCACCTGAACACACACACACACACACACACACACACACACACACACACACACACACACACACACACACAGGGAGATTTCACTTTAAACATTTTAAAGATTTCAAAGATATTTTAAAGATTTTTAATTTAAAATAATGCTATTAATTAATAATATTACTACTATTCAAAGTTAAAGAAACTAAATTAACTTGCCTTGTGAGATCACCAGCTCAATGTGAGTGAGGCGGAGAAGGGGGAGCAGGAACCACATCATCACCACAGCTTATGACTTGAGAGTGAGGCAGACAAATGATATGTTCAACCTTATATTCCCGTGGCTTCACCCACAAAAAAGGAAATGAGCAGAATATGCGCCAAAGTTAGACTCACAAATGTTAACTTAGATTGAAAGAAAACACAAGTGCTCTAATTTCTTATACAGCACCTTTTTATGTTAAACTTAAACTCACTCTGATGCTGTAACACTGAGAAAATGTGTAAACATATCAACAGTAAATCACACTACTGATTTTATGAGAATGTGAAATTTAATTTACTGATAAACTGTAAATTCAACCTTTAATAGCTGATTCAATAGCTGTTTTTTTTAAATTAATAATTTTAAAAGAAATGCTAACAGACTGATTTAACTCCAGTTCAACTGCTGATAGGATGCCTGACCCAGCACTGTTCCAAGCAGTCATTTCCTGCATTCATAATTCCGTTATTTGTGACAATTCTGCAACACCACAAGCTGAAATGCAGCCCCAAGCTACGACAGAGCATCCACTATTTTTATAAATGGCTTTGGACACTCACTGCTGTTCCCTCTTGATCTCGTCTGTACATACTAATTACAATTTGTCACTGATATTTGCGCTGTGCTGCATTTTTTCCTATTTCTTGGGAACACAGTAAATCATTTTTAGGCCTGCATCATCATCATCATCAGAATCTCTTTGTTGCTGCAAAAATAAAAATTTTTTCCCCTGTGTCATTTTCCTACTTTATTTTACATGCAGATAAAGAAATGGGAACAGAACACATGTTTTTGCCACATGCTGCTACTAACATCCTGTCTAAAGGTACCAACCTTTCTGTTATATGTTGATCCGACAGTCGTTCATTCTTTGAGTTAGGTGCATTGGTTATGTTTGAATGATTTATACGTCAAGGTTAAGTGGTTTAATACAGCAAAGGAGCATTGTCAAGCTTACATATTATAACTCACTCTAAATTATTTTACATGTGTCTGTGGCCTCTCTTAATTCCTGTCACTAAGACACACTAACCAAACTTAAAAGAAAATGTAATAAAAATCTGAATATAAATAAACTAATGGTAAAGTAATAAAATGTTGGACCTCAGTTGGTGACTTTTTCAATGCATGGTCCCTGAAAAAAAGTTGTTTTGTAATAGTTTTTGTGAAAATCTGATTATTACATGAGAACATTCTGAGAATTTATTCTCACATCTAGAGATGGCACGATACCACTTTTTTATGTCCGATACCGATTCCGATATCATAAATTTGGATATCTGCCGATACCGATATGAATCCGATATAGTGTTTTTTAATCAACAAAACTGTTTTTTTTTTAAATATCTTGCTGCATTTTGTATAAGTTCATACTCAAGTTTAAAACAACAACTACACTAAAGCTATTCTGTTATACCTGTATGCAAAAAAAAAAAAATTCATAGTTCAGCAATACTGATCAATCTAATAAACTTAAACCTACACCATCCTCCCTATTCTGGTATTTTAAAGAGTACTTAGCGTAAATATTAAGCAACCTAACTAATAGGGTTCCAACTCCCAGGAACAACAAAAATAAATAAATAAAAAATAGGGAACCACCCCTCACGCTCCACCTCATGATGCTTAATCGACGTAATCAACCTTAATTTGATGCAGTGTGAAAAAAAAATGCACAGAAATCAATTATTTTTCAAGAAATATTAAATAGATTCAACATCTTTCTTCAACAAAATTGCAGACTGCACAGATGGTACCTTCCCAAAGGAAAAAGTACTATATTAGACTTAATAGTTACTATATACAGTAATTGACTTCTATTCATTTTACATCAAATTAAAACTTTGGGTGTCAGATAATTATTTACTAAAAGCTAGACATTTTAAATGAGAATAAGAAAGAAAAGTATGTCTTTGTGCCCTCTTTTCCCTGTTAATGCCCTATCGGCCCCCCTGGCTAAACTTTGCTAGATCCGCCCCTGCACAGTTACCAGCCGTCAGCTACAAAAGATCCTCGAGTAGAAAGTAATAATAAATACATTCTAACAACAGCTTATCAAGCGCTGCTGTTGTTCAGCCGCTGGTTTCCTCTTTCTGGTGCAAAGTGGGCCAAAAACAAACCAGAGAGACGGAGTCGTGACAGAAAAGCCGATCAGCTGATCATTAAGCAGTTTCATGATTGAAGTAGCAGCAAGAAGAGGCAGTCGCTTGTTAAGCTTTACGCAGGAATGCTTTACAAACATTCAGAGATGGACTTACACACTTGCTTTACTTCTCTCGGGGATAACTTTGTCGGAGATGAAATGCCGGGTTGCTAGCGAAGCTCCACATGCTATCCAGACCACCGACAGGTCACAAATGCCACAGCCGCTCTATCACGTGATGCATACTGCTCCGACGTGCTAACGTTCTGAGGTGAGTTACGCGTGTTGCAAGTTTTATGAGGTGCTTTCGTGATATTTAATGGATCGGATTACAATTTTTATTTTTCTCCGATATCCGATCCAGTAATTTAGGTCAGTATCGGACCGATACCGATACGTAATATCGGATCGGTCCATCTCTACTCACATCTAAGTATAAGATTCACACAGAGGCAACTTGACCACATTTATCAGGGACCTGATCAGAAATGAAGCATAAGTATCACCATCAACTCCAGACTAGCTTAAAAGAAATAAAGCCACAAACCTCTGGGTTGCATTTCTGAAACCAGATCGTTTATCTAGGCAGGAAACAGTGATCACATATGCTTCTGCTTCAGATATATTCTCAGGAGAAAATCAGCTCCCAACTGTGTTTAAAGGTGTGTATTTAAAAAAAAAATAGATGTATGCTTTCATGTGTTTTAAATATTTACTTAAACAGTAAATTCATGAATTTTACTGTATCAAACTGAATACAAAATTAAAGGGCATGCTACCCACCAAACAAGACTCTCGGGGTGCACAAACAAACCCTGTTGTAGGTCAATGCACACTATGGAAACACACACTGTTCCACAAGACTGTGCGACTTTTTCAAGAACTCAGAAGACAAATGCAATGGGTTATGCATCGGGGCATGTGAAACACACCAGCGAGTCAACTTATGGGTGGCTCAAAAAATGTTATATTATTATTCAGTAATGTGTCAGATTTCATAGCAATTCTATATGTAATTAACACATGAGCATGCCCTGCAGCCAGGATAGCAGACAATGATTTTTTTTTTTTGGTTTGTTTTTGTTTTTTGCTAAATAATGATGGCAGCAAAACTGTGTGCAAAATCGTGTTAAACAGCATTACAGACACCAGGACTCTTCAACCACATCCAGAAAAGACAGCCAAGATCTTAAACTAGATGCAAAAACATGACAACATATTTGCAAAAAAAATTAAGATATATATATGAAAAAAAAGAAACACATTTCATAAGATGAAGTTTGGAAAATATTAAATGATAACGCCCATGATGTAATTTAACCTTTACAAAAACATTTGGAATTTGGCCAGGAAACCAGTAGTGGAGGCAAGACAAATTAGAAGGACATGGGACAGCTCAGCTTTACTTAGCTGGAGGTCAACATCAGTGGTGGAGATCCTCTGGTGCCTTGTGAAAAACAACAACAAAAACCGAGCTTTATTTGTCACCTAGACAATCATACACAGCTGCAGGTATAGTCACGCCATTCCAAGGATTGATTTTTAGCATGGGAGGTCTAGCCAGGACACTGTGCTGGAAATTGAACTTGCGATTTCCACTCCAAAGGTGTGTAGTGTGTTTGTACACACTACGCACCTTTGGTGTAGTGTTACCACTACACTGAGGTCAGCATGTCTGGAGGACATTCTATGGAGGCTTGTGTTGGCAGAGGTGCCAGGACACCCCTGTAGCTTGGCTGGGGAGTGACATTGGCCGGGGGACCCTCTGAAGGCCAGTGACAAAGAAGACAGGACCCCTTTGGAGCCTCAGCAAGTGATCAGCAATGTAGGCAGAGAACTTGTAATTGGATATAGATGGAGTCACAT